GCATAGATATCCCACTGAAAGATCGAGGAATTCTTCTAAAAATCAAATTCAGGTTCCTCCTCTTCAGAACTTATGCCATCCAAGGACCGAGCTCTGGTATCTACTCCCTTGATTACTCAGGAACAGTACAACAATATACTGGCCTTGCTTTCATCAGGTAGTCCCAGCCTCAATGCTAATCTGACAGGTATAGCTCTTTCAGCCCCGTCAACCAATACTTGGATTATTGATAGAGGTGCTACCAATCACATGTGTTCTTCCTTTGTCCTTTTTCTCATCTTATACATCTTGCACCACTCCAGCTCATGTCCAGTTACCTGACGGTACTAATGTGGAGGTTACCCACATTGGAACTGTGCAACTCTCTTCAAAAATCCAACTTGATCATGTTTATTACATTCCATCCTTTAAATTTAATATTTTATCAGTCAGTCAACTCACACACTCTCACCAATGTTCTGTTACCTTCTTTAATGATCAGTGTGTTTTTCAGGACTTGTTTACGAAGAGTACGATTGAAGTGGGCCAAGTACATGGCGGACTTTATTACTTCCAAGCACATTCTGCACAATTTGTCACTGATACTCCCGCAATCGATATTTGGTATTGGCGGCTAGGACACCCATCATCTTGTCGATTGTCTACATTGACCAAGAATTTTTCTTCAATTACATGTTCTGATAACTATATATGTAATGTTTGTCCTCAGGCCAAGCAAACTCGTTTACGTTTCCCTACTAGTTCCATTTCATCAAATAAACCTTTTCAATTGGTTCATTGTGATATTTGGGGCAGCTTTTCTCAACCATCTATGTCTGGATCACGTTTCTTTCTTACTATAGTGGATGATTTTTCTCGATACACTAGGATTTTTCTCATGCGCTTCAAATCTGATGCTAAATTTCATTTGAAATCTTTCTTTGCCATGGTCAAGACGCAATATCATTACCAAATAGAAAATGTCCACTATAGTAATGGTGCTATTTTTCTACTTGAAATTTAGCAAGTACGTTCTGATAAGGGTACAGAATTTTTGCCCACTGACATTGAAGATTTGTTTTTTCTAAAAATGGTATTGTCCATCAACGTAGTTGTATTGATACACCCCAGCAGAACAGGGTCGTAGAACACAAAGCACAGACATCTTTTGAATGTTGCTCGTGCTTTGAGGTTCCAAGCACACTTACCTCTCACCTTTTGGGTGGAATGTATTCTCACTGCTGCGTACTTAATTAACAAGGTTCCCTCGTTGTTACTCGATGACAAATCACCTCATGAAATTCTTTTCAACACCCCACCTTCCTACTCTCATCTTTGTGTTTTTGGTTGTTTGACTTTTGCTCGCAATGCTCATATTAAGCATAAATTTGACCAACGTGCAAAGCCGGGTATTTTTGTTGGTTATCCATATGCTCAAAAAGGATATCGTATCTATGACATTGCTACCAAAACCATTTATGTGTCGAGAGATGTCATTTTTCATGAAACTGTTTTTCCTTTTCGGGATGTTCCTTCATCACCAAATCCCCTGCCTGTCATTCCCTTGCCTATTGATGATAATCCACACTATGACTTTGCTTCTAAAAATCCTGCACCAGTGTGCCCCTCAAATATTTCCATTGAACCAACCTTGATTCAATCCAATCCACCAACTTCACCTATTCTTCCTTCAGATACATCACCTATGCCACCTGTTCCGATTCGTTCAATTCGGAAATGTCACCCACCAGCATACCTCAAAGATTATCACTGTGCTGCAGTCACCAATGGTACACCACCCTCTTCCTCGGACTCTGAACAGACAGGTACTCCTTATCCCCTCCACAAATATCTTTCATATGCTAAATTTTCCCATGCACATCGAGCTTTTCTTTCTGCAATTTCTTCCATAGATGAGCCCACATCCTTCACTCAAGCTGTGAAAATTCCTCATTGGCGCAATGCTATGGCTGTTGAAATTAGCGCTCTTGAAAAGAATCATACTTGGAGCCTTACCCATCTTCCACCCAACAAAAAGCCCATTGGGTGAAGTTGGGTTTACAAAATTAAATATCGGTCAAATGGCACAGTTGACAGGTACGAAACCCGTTTGGTTGCAAAAGGTTTTATCCAAATTGATCAAGATGCTTTTGCACCCGTCGCCAAACTTGTCACAATTAGAGGTCTTCTCTTTATTGCCTCCATCAAGAATTGGTCCCTTCACCAACTTGATGTCAACAATGCATTTCTACATGGTGATTTACATGAAGAGGTTTATATGATACTTCCACTTGGGTTCGCTCGAAAGGGGGAGGCCCCTGTTTACAAATTAAACAAATCTCTCTATGGCTTGAAACAGGCCTCCCGCCAATGGTTTGCCAAATTTTGTCATACTCTTCAACAAGTTGGTTTTTCTCGATCCAAGGTTGATTATTCGTGGGGCTATTTTCACCCCACAAATGTCAATTTTCAATCTATTTAATTTCTCATTATCAAACTACTAAACTCACTTTATTAGTAACTAAGCTCACCCCATTTGTAACTAAACCCACCTCATATTACCTATACCCCATTAGTAGTTAAGCTCACTCATTTGAGCAATACCATAGAGATCTTATTTAGGGACTTAATGATGTGACTTTAATGTAATCATAAGATTAATTGTGAGTTCTAATGTTAGATAAAATATACAACTAATTCAATAATTGTACATCATTATATCCCTAAATAAGGTCTAAATAGCATTTCTCCGCTCATTTTTATGCAGATCCCTTTAATGAAAGAAATTATCATAAGAAAAAAATAACGAAAAAATAAAATTAGTTTGAATGCATAAATATATTTATGAAACAAGAAACAACAAAAAAAATAACCAAAAATGAAACAAGTAAAAAAACCAAGCATGTTGAAACAAGAGCAATGAAAAGAACAAAACCAAAAAAAAAAAAAAAGGAAAGAAAGAAGTAGACCCAAACAAGAAAAAATAAAAAAATGAAACAATGAAAAAATAGAAAGAAAGAAAGACACAAACCAAATCAAGAAGGAAAACAAATCAAGCAAAGATTAAAGAAACAAGACAAATTACAAGACACTAAACTGAATATGAAAAAAAAAAATTAAACATCAAGCACAGACACAATTGAACAAAAAAAAAGTATAGATGTAAAATCTTAAAGAGATAAAAAAAAACAAATAATCTGAAAACATACACATGTATACACACATATAAATTTTAAATAAAAAATTATTAAACTTGTAGAGATATCACAAAAAACGAAAATCCATATAACAAACATGAAATCAAACAAAGAATTAAATTGAGAAATAATAATAACATATATCTCACTAAAAAAATTTATATTAAAAAAATATTTTTGTGAGTACATAATATGAGATAGAGAATGAAATCTTAATTATGACAAAATATAAAATGTGTTTATTTATTAAAAGAGGTGTATATAGCATGTGGTGAATTTAATTATTAATAGTGTGGGTATAGAAGATGTGAATTTAGTAGTTTGATAATGAGAAATTAAATAGGGTGAGAATGAAGATTTGTGGGGTGAGAATAACCCCACCCTTCTAAGAAAAACATACTAAATTTTAATCTTAATTTTTGATAGATGTTATTTTTTTTCACTTATATAGGATGGCCATAATTTTCTAACATGTTAGTTATTCAACATAGTGGTTATTAGAATGCACTAAAATAACGAGATCCACCATACACATATAATACAATTATTAATCAATAATATCATTTGTCATCGATGATATATTATTCTCTCTATTTTACTATGCGAATCAATCTAATAACTATATCTCTATTAACTCAAGCCGTATAAGTGACGATTCGAATCTTGTCATTGCCCCTAATGTTCTTTTCTACGTCCAATGATAAAAAATAAAAAAGAGAGAGAATTATATTTATGCCCTTAAAATTTGTCACTTAATTATTTAAATTTTTTAATATTTAAAATATTATACACAGACCCTTGCTGTTAATGTCCATTAGTATATCCATCAGTAAATTATACTTTGACCCTTTGAAGTTTATAGATGTATAATATTTAGATTTTTCAAGTTCAAAATATTATACTTAGACTAAAAATATTCCAATCAAAAATAAAATATCAAATATTTTAAATTTTACAATCAAAATTCATGTTATATTAAGACACTAGTTATAACCTGTGTCTGAAGGCACGATAAAATATAAAATTCGAGTGTTCAAAAAATCGATCCCACTATATTAAATTTTTTCAAAATATATTAACTATAAATTAATCAAATATTAAATAATTAAATATATGATATAAATGAGTGATGTGATATTTTTAGGGAGAAAATATATAAATGATTAAACATGTGATAAAAATAAGTGATATAATTTGACATTTGAGTTTAACAAAGAAATGATGGGTGACTTAAGTGATTGATTATGGTTTTAAGAGGAAAAATATGACTGGTATAAAATTCAAACACACATATTTTATTATATAGATTTGTTGAAATAAAATTAAAATTTAAAATATATTTTTTTTCTTAAAAAATCATAATCAATATACAATTATATTATCTATTTGCTCATGGAAACTGGAGAGATAAAAAAGGTTGGAAGCTCTAAACTTTTTTGGGGGTGGACGTGTAATCAAATGTCCAAAAATTTCCCTTTTTTTTTCGTTCTTGGAAGTGAAATGTTTATATATGGTTGTGTGCCTATGTTCATTAGGTGCAGATTTTAACGATGAACTGAGCATGGAGGAAAAAAGATTAGGATTGCAGAGATATAGTATTTGAAAAAAAAAAGTAGCATCCCAAGTTTAAGTTACAATCACGAGTCTTAAATACTCGGACGATTCTAGGCTCGATTAACCAAGACAAAAAGAAACAAAATATTAATTCATAAAACTTTTGTAATGTTGCAGCTGAACGAGGCACGGGATTAACACACTTTGCTTTTTGTTTTTTATTTTTTTGGGTATTATGATCAAGGATATCCGAGTCTAACTTATCACACTTCATTTCCCGGGAACAAAGTTAGTGGCGTAAGCCCATGCATTGTTAGCCACTGGATCAGCAACATGGTCGTAGAGGTTCTCAATCGGGCCTTTTCCGGTGACAATGGCCTGGACAAAGAATCCGAACATCGAAAACATGGCCAATCTTCCATTTTTGATCTCTTTCACCTTCAGTTCTGCAAATTGATCTGGATCATCAGCCAGTCCTACTGGGTCATATGGCAAGGATGCTCTGGGCGTTAATGAGGTTTGGGTTTCCCAGATAATCAAGCCCACCTTCTGAGAAGATTTGGGCTCCGGCCTTAAACCACACAGCCTCACCGAATTTGACACCGTTCTTTGCATGGATTTCGGGGGAGGACACAGCCCAGTGCACCGAGCATGGCCCATCTGCAGTGGATCACCTCCAGCTCCCGGTTCTTGGCGAATGTCTCCGGGATCAGCGGATAGCCCAGCAGTGTCTCACCCATAGTCACCGGGGAATTCACCGGTCAAGTATGACGGAGTTTGCTCAGAGAATGGGCCCAAGTATTTTGGGCGGTCTGGTCCGTACCTTATTGTGACAATAGGCCCATTATTAATTAAAGATATACAACTTTACACCATAATTACATCGGCACCAATCAAAAATCCCCAAAGTATTCAAAGAATTCCTGTTATATCTTCATTCCAACCCTCAACCCTATTTTCGATGTTCATTGTTATTGAATCAATCAAACGCACCTTTGTTACCAAGCAATTTTCACCATATACTTCGATCCAATTGGAAAAAGCTTTGATGAAGTTTTGGTTTTTAGCTGTTGAAATATAAATATCAAAGTTGCAATCTTTTTTTGATAACTTAAACTTTTAGATGGGATTTTATTTAAATTGTTATTTGAACAGGCGATGTTGTATTCGAATCTTATCATAGTATTTAACATTCGTTTTTCCACTTTCTAAGGCAAGAATCACCACACTTGTCATGAAATATTTGCAAAATTGCTATTTTATGACCCTTAATTACATAGGACTACCCCTCAAAATTTTAAACACAATTTAATAAGATAAGCGAGTCTCACAAAAGTACCAAAAAAAAGGGTAGTCTTACATACTTATTCGAGATTATTTTCACGAGTCAAAATTTTAATGGCCAGTCATACAGTGAAAGTAGGTATGAGTTATATACAAAATTATAGCATCTTACCAGATGCTTTGTGGAACACTTTTGACGGTGCGTCTCATGGTGGCGCGGCCACCACCAAAACCACCAACCCTCCTCACGAGCTCATTTTGCTGTTTCAAAACCGTCTGTCCCGCGATCGCAGACTGTTGGATGGCGTAGGTTGCCATGGTTGATGCTGTGAAGCTCCTCCTTTGGTGGCTGAAGTTACTATATGTAGGGGAGGTTTGTGGGATGCTGTGAAAATGCATGTGGAAGTTATTGGAGGGGGTGGGGGAGGTTATATATGGAATTTAGAAGGTTTGTGGATTAGGATATATACACATCAGCACCATCTAATTGGTTGATTTGTGGGATTTGGATTTTCCTTCTGATTTTTGTTGAGATAGAGGCTATTGTTATGCCATGTTGCTATAAAAAATCTTAATGGTGAGAGGTTTCATGAGCACAGGAATATAGGTTTTGAGCTGATGGGCTTGTTCTGATTGCCATCTTTGCAATTCCCTACCAAACTAGCCAGGCCCAGGTACCACCCACCCAACCCTAGGGGTTGGTGTTGGGGTAACACGAATTAAAATCAATATAAAATTAATGGGTTAAAATTGATTATTTATCGATATGAATCATAATTGACACAATTTATTAATATGAATGATAAATGAGGTGAGTTAATATGAAATACGAATAAAGTGAAATTGTAATGATTAACACGTTTAACTAATATTGTAATAATATAATATTAATTTTTTTTGTCATTTTTTTTATCAAGTATTGGCATAACTTTTGTACAAAAACAGAATGTTTTTTCTTATTGTATTTATTAAGTTGATTTTTAGTTTGTAGTAAAACTACGAGTGCTAGTTCGATTAAAAGATAATGAAATTCTAGACTTAAATCTAAGTGTTAAATTTGATTTATGAGTTATATGAGCCAATACGAACACAACATGAAAATAAATAGCTTAGGTCAAGGTACCATTAATTGAGGCTACTAATATTTTTTTTTTCAACGGTTAGGGAATTTGGGTTAGATTACGAGCACCTCGACTGATCTCCTCCTCAATCTGATAAAAAATATAGATCATCAAGTCGAATTAGGATATTCATGAGGGATAAATTTCTCATGACCTGTTCTCAAGAGATTCGGACTTAGATGTTTTGAAATGCCATACATAACTCTTGATGGTGCCTGTATTTGCTAACCCAAGTTCGGTACCTTTGCCAGTCAACCCAGAAGGAATGCATGGTAAATATAATGAATGGCAACGAATAAAACAATGAGGAGAAATCCAGAACACAACATAAGTGGTTCACCTTAGTCGAGAGACTAAGGCTACATCCACTGTAAGGGAGTCTCTTGCTCTTCAAGTTTGTATATTACTTATTTTTGGTAAGTACAACGGTGTAACTGGCTCAGGGCCTTTACAAGAATGATGTACATATAGGCTAGACTGTGTTGATGATTCGAGAGTGCCAATGTAGGAGATGATACTTTAATGTAGCGTGATAGTGTCTTATTTATAAAAGTGATTCTTCTAGGATTTTCTGAGGCTCCTTCTTCCTTTTTGTTGATTATGTGGATCCCTCCACTGTTGTCCTGTAGTGACCTCTGTCACACGACGCCACTGTACTCGTAATCTCTGAATGGTTATGCTCACCAACGTTCTCTATGCTAGGGATAGTGTGTTCGTTATAGGTGTCAGAAGTGGTCCCCTTGTCTTTAGGCCATGTGGCACGATGAGGGTGTTTTAGGATAGGCATTAGGCCAAGCTCCTCTATCCGAGCTGACATATGGCTGAGTTGGACTAGGACTGGGTTGGAGTCCAGATCCTCTGGTATCGTCAGGTGTTTCCCTTTGGGCTCGGTAAACTCTGCTCTTGGTGTGGACAGGTTGTGGGTGCTCCATTTGGGCCACTACGCAATCATTGGTTTTTTGGACTTATTGGGCTATTGATTATGGCAGCCCATACCCAAAATTTCATCATTATCAGTTGTCCCCCAACCCCAGGTTATGAGGATGGCGTCAACTTTGACCTGGGGTTAAAAATGTCTTTTCTAGTTTTGGCACGGTTTCCCTGAGTGGTGATTGCGCTTAATTGCTGGCTTTGACCTGAGTCATGTTGTGTTAACCTACGCCAGATATGATGAGACAGTTACGCACACGCGTCATGCGTAGGAGAGCCCATTGGTGCGATTTCCTTTGCATGTTCTATCACATATCTATCACGAATTAAATGCTATGTATACAAGAGAAAAAATCCCCTCGTCTTTCCCACTTGTTGTTTTTGAATTCTCATCCTTTCATGCCTTATTTCTTCCTTCGGTTTTGAGGCATCTTGTTACCAGCTCTTTGGTGATTTTAGGGTGAACAGTATAAAATTGTGAATAGTATAGGTTAGTTTAAAATCTGAATTTCAAGTCTGGCTTCTAGCGTCTAATTAGGTACGTCTCTTTCCCTTCTTTCTCTTTGCTCGATCTGGATCCCTTCAACCCTCCCTGGTGGGGCTTTGGGTTTCGGTTTATGGATTGAAGGTTTAGCTACTTTAGGAGTTATTTTAATGATTTTTTTTCCCTTTCGCAATTTGTAGACTGCTCTTTGTTGTCAAGGCTATCTTTCTTTAGGTCCTGGTGTTTGAACCCCCTGTTTTTAATGGGCTGTGTCTTGCATTTACCTTAGCTTCATTCTGGTTTGTGAATTGAGCCATGATGGGGAGGGTTGTCGTTTCTTCTTCGGAGTCCTTCGAGGAACAGGGTGATGAGGAGGTTTCTACGGCCTCCACTAGAAGACGTTCCGAGAAGGAGGCCTCTTCTCCTACTGCTGGCGATGTGTCAGTTGGTGGTGATCAGTATTTTCTCTCTTTGTTGGAGAATTTAGAGTTCCTCTCCAGGGGACTTGTTGAGGAGGCTTCCGAGTCGGTCCTTGAGGTTTTAGCTTCGGCCCCCCTAGCAAAGGTCTAGGCTCCCTTGGCATTGCCCTCTACCTCCTCTAGTCAGTCTAAGAAAAGGAAGTCCAAGGCGGCTCCCCTTCTATACCCAAGAAGAAAACCCATCGGAATTTATCAGACCTGATTTGTTGTGTCGAGTCGACTCCTAGTCACCTTGAAAAGGAGGATCTGGAGGAGTTGAGGTAGGAATACCATTTTCCTGATTCTATGGTATTACACTCCCCTGAAGAGCACGAGAGGTGTAACTCCTCTATCCCCAGGTTGACCTGTTTCTTTGAGTTCGCATTTCGGGCTGGCCTCCAATTTTTCCTTCATCCTTTCATTCGAGATGTTCTTGCTTTTTACCAAGTCTGCCCGGCTCGACTTTCTCTGAATGGTTGGGGTCTCCTAATCAATTTTCTCATTTATTGGTTCGAGAGTAGGAATGACTCTCACCCCACCATTCAAGAATTTGCCTTTCTTTTAACTCGAATATTCTCCTTCCTTGGGATTTCTATATTTTTCCAAGAGGGTGAAAGCAAAGAAATTGATTTCTGGGCTCCCATCTTCCAATAAAGGGTGGAAAATGCAGTTTTTCTTTGTTAAGGGAGACACATGGGAGTTATTGGGGGAGCCTGGTGACGTTCCTCGTATTTTCAAGTTTAGGGGGATCCCTAGGAACATTAGTAAGCCCAATTTTTGAACATACTTTCCTTTTTCGTTCATTCTCACAATTGTTTGCTAATTTCTGATTCGTCTTGCAGGTTTTTGTCCAAGCCTTAACGCGGATGAGGCGGCCAGGGTAGCTAGAGCCGAGGCTTTTAGGTTGTAATCCTTCTTTGACCTTGTGATCATCAAGAACCCTTCTAAATATGAGCTCGGGCCACCTATAAACCTTGAAAATGCCTTGGAGTCGGCGCCACCTGCCCCCCAACTTGAACCTATGGACCCAGACCTTATTATGGCAGCCTTCTCGGATGCCGAGAAGTCGAGGAAGTAAAGAAAATTGGTGAAGGGTTTACAGCCACCCTCTAAGGAGGTATCAACTTCTGGGCTAGCCCCCACCTCCTTAGAGCAAAAATGGGAGCACCTTGCCTCCCTTGAAGGTGCTACCTCGCCCTCGCTGTCCCTCGAGCTTCTTAAGAGCAAATCTCTTTTCGGAGGGTCTTCAGCGGGGTAGCCCGGGGATACAACAGCTTCTCATGTTCTTCCCCAGCCTATTTCTTAGAAAGGCAAAAAGGGGGGATCCGTTACTTTCCAGTCCAAAATCTAAGGGAGTGGATTTCTTTGCGATCCTGATGCCGCTTTGACTGCTTTGTCCAAGATGGTTCCCACCTCGGACCCCGGGGTGGCTATGCAAGTTCCTTTCAAGAGGAAGGTTCAACACACCATTCAGGGTCTAGCCGAGGTACTTTATGTCTTTACTTGCGCTTTTCCTCCAAAATACTTCTTCTAAGGCTTTCTTGGCTACTTCCCGTGCTGACTAACTCCTTTCTTTCGCTAGTCGCTTGCCTGTGTGAAGATAATGGACTTCCATCATGAGCAGGAGTTGATGAAGGCTAAGGAATTTCTTGATGTTGTGGTGGCGGGTAAAGAGGCCTTCGAGGAGAAGGGGATGGTACTAACCGTCGAGGCAGCTGAGCTGAAGAGAATCTATGATGAGTTGAATAGTCACTATCAAGACCTTGCCAAGCTTAAGGATTCCCAGCTCGAGGCTAAGGAGACCGAGCTCAAGGCCAAGGATGTAGAAGTGGCGAATCTGAAAGGCAGGGTGTCTGAACTCCTGAAAAAGAACGCCTCTGCCTTTGTGAAGGGGTTCCTGAACTTTCGGGAGCAAGCCGAGTATGATTATCCTGACCTTGACCTGGACTCCTTTGTGCTGCAGCTCGGACCTAAGAAAACGGCAGAGACATTTGGTGCTAAGGAGGGATCTGCGGTTGAAGGAGTTGTGGCTGAGGTGCTTGGTGCCCAGACAGAGACAAAGACAATTGACGGAGGGGTCGGTGGTGGTGAAGGACCTGTCCTTTGAACCTATCTTGCTGGTACTTCTTTTTCTTTACCTTGTAATATGTTAATGACCCCTGGTTTGTACTATTTTCTTCTCTTCTTAATGACAATGCAACTGTTTTGGGATACTGGTTTCTTCCATGATTGTGTTGTGAATTGTTTCGCTCCTATTCTGGTATCAATGGATGAACATGTTTATTCTGAGCCATGTCGTTGTAGGACTTATCATCAAACCTGTTG